CCATTTTCTGACAAAATATAGCTTATTCAACGTGATTTTTTGCGCTGATTTCAAATATCATACTTGTTTTGTATGAAAACAATTCGTTCGAAATGAAAATCAAAAAAAAATGTCCTATTTTTGGGTGGTTTTTGCCATCTTTTACCATAGTTGCAGGAAACGTGAATTTTCTTAACAACAGTAAAACTCCAGATTACGAGCATACGTAACTTTTTTCCTATAGATCTGATGGTTCGAATGCTGAAAAAAAATCATATTAGCTCTTACAGAAAAAAAGGAGATAGGTTTACAACGTAAGGCTGTCGACAGTATGCAAGGTAGGTCTTGGTAAGCCAACCAAAAGTCACAAGATCGATGAAATTTCGTCAAATTCATCTGAATAGCACAGTTTTATGTGCTCGATTTAGATAATATACTTTTGTTGAGAAAAGTCTAATCAAAGATACATCAATCCTGAAATGAATAGTGAAAAGCCGCTTTTTTTTGGGTTTTCTGGAATTTTTAGTATTTTGCGATTTTCTCGACTCAGATTAAATCTGGAAATTTGAAAGATATATATTCTGAATCAGCGCGAAAAGCTCTATCAACTGATGTATAATTGATTGAGTTTTTCTTTCTGCTCAACTTTTGCATTACGTGCACCTTACAATAATTGAATTTTCATATTCTGTTTTGAGTTTCTATGTTGGTTTCCTTCTTATTGACAATGCTAAACTTATCTTTACACAAATAAACTTATTTGTTTTGATACTCGATGTTTAAATATACGATGGACAAGTTCCTCATCATTGAAATGATTTCTTTATCATTACAGTTACAAGTTTCATGTGAATCTTATCGTATGAATGAAACGAAATCCTAATCAGGAATATTATTTTAAAAATTTTTATTCGAAACAGATTTTAAAAGAAAAAGAAAAATTAGAAAATAATTTTTCAAGTTTTAAAGGCATTTCTGGAAGTGTAAATAATGGATGAGCGATGTTTGAGCGTTGCTTCACCAGGGTATGATCATGAGACCGAGAACTAGATTCATAATATAGGTCTTTGTTGTTACAATGTTTTTGGCATCATTGCATAAATCTGTCTGACAGCACCATTGACCAAAACCTAAGAAGTTTCCTTCTGTACAGTTTTGTGTTACATTTCGAATGGCATAGCCCAAGGCAGTAAGTTTCTATGTTACGTCAAATTATTGAAAGACAGTGAAGAAAATAGATATTGACTTACATTGCAAGAGTATCCTTGATTGTCAGATACTGTCTGTTGTGTAATATTCGCGGAGTTGGCGTTGAATGGATCATTGCAGAAAGAACATACATAACATGTCAGGCCAACTGTTGGTTGAGTCAAATCTATGATTCAACATATTATTGATAATATTGTCGTACTTCTTTATGACAAGAAATCAAGCTTACAAAATAATAGAAGAGCGCAGACTAATATGATGTATTGACAAGTAGACATGTTTGGTGTATTATCGACGATTAGACATGACTCGAAAAAACGCTAAAATGAGTTCGATATGATGTTAACTATTAGACTACGAATAAAAAATTTTATTGCAAAAAAAAATATTTATACGAGGAAGAAGAGAGAGAAAAAAATCGAGAACCTTCTAATAGTTATTAATTTCTTTTGCTTCTATTGGTGAGTATGAGAAAAATATTCTTAGAGTGCGTGAAACGATCCAGAGGGCAGAAGAGAAACCAGCATATATATATATATAGAGAGAGAGAGATGAGAGAAAACAGAAAGAGAACTGCAAATGGACCACGTACATCTAACGACTGAAAAATAACCGTTACCTGTTTACTACGTAAAAAAATGACTACATATTTACATGCTACCTGTCTCCTATATATCGAAAAAAGCTACCGAACATAAAATTATCAATAAAATTTATTAATCCAATATTTCGTGAGTTAGATAGATGAAAGAAAAATTTTTAAATCTTTTCCATTTTGACCAGCATGTGGACGAGTTTATGTTACAATTTTTCTTGAATATACCGAAATTAGTAACAGAAAAATATGAGCTTATAAAAAAATCTGAAAAAAAAAAGATGTGGTAAAGAGTTCGTTTTCGCAGGACATTTGATTAATATGATAGTATAAACCATTTCAATGAAAACTTTTAGAACGCAGGTTCCAAATTAGAAAGACCTTTTCACTCTAGTCGCTCAGCACAACAGTCAGCAAATGAGCTCAAATTTAATCACTGAGTGGGCTAATGTCTTGCCTATCTATTGATGAAAAAAAAACTTTTTTAAAAGGTTCAGAAATAGTGGACTTCTAAGCGGTAGAATGAAGTCGGCTGATTGTCTTCTAAATAAGTGCCATGTCTTCAAGAAGAACGCACTAGCAAAAACACATAGAAGAACAAGCAATATCAAAAATTATGCTGTATTTACTTGGAAACTTCGAAGTTTAGTGAAATATCCACTACAAAATTTGTTTACATACGATCGAGGAACGACAACTAATTACTGGCCTTATTCTTGATAAATGAAAATGCTTAACTGATTCCACTTTAATATAATACATTTTACTTAAAGGATAAGAGCGCATAACACCATTTTTCTGCTCTCAAAATATTTCAGTTTTTTTTTTGTTGAAATCCTAGTGGACTCATTTAACAACATTGAAATGATTTATTTCCCAATGTCTCGCCCGGGTGCGGGTATGAATCAATAGGCAACCACACCCACACCTTTCTTCAGTTATAAACTGAATGGTATTATTCTCAATTTAAAGAATTCGATGTTCGATTATTTAGCAGCAAATAAATTATAGTGTATAATATTGAAATGAAATTTTTTTTTATGTCAATACGTTCAAAGTATTCTTGATAGTTTAATTATAAAGATATATTTTCTGTTTGAAGGTTAACTATGAAGACGCCTGTAAAATCTTTAAAAAAAAACACGAATTTCTTTTAAAGTTCAAAAAAGAAATTCATATAATACTCTCTCTCTGATTCATATAAAAAATGTTTTTTTTTTCATTTCTAACAATGGAGGTATGTGTGTTGATAAGTGAAAAGATGGCACATATTCGGATCCAATGAAAGCTCTCATCACCAAACTAACAAGGTTAAAATATTAGCGGCCCTTGGCTTGCCTAGAGAGAGATATTCGACTTTTACGGTACTCACAATTTGGGTATATACGAACATTATGATTATTTACATTAGTTTTTTATGCAATCAGCTGAGTATTTCAATAGTAGGCTACAAGAATCTTTCTGAAATTTATCAATAGAATTAAGATCACATTAGTTTCGATGTCCTCTGGAACTAATAAGTAGTATCAATATAGACAAAGATCAGCTAGCAGTTATCAAAATCTTTAATTCATCAATAATTTTGATTTTATTTCAATTGGAAACAATATATTATATAATATACTATTTTAAAAAATGTGCTGTAAGTGCAGATGTAGATCTTCAATTAAATGATAGTAACAAAGAGCTTTTTTGCACCAAGCACACATTAATAGTGTTCGTTCACTGCAATTGTTGATTGAATAGTACAGATCATAAAATTTGAAGCAAACATCTTTTAGTTTTTCAATTTGTCTAATTGTTTCATTTGGTATTCCAGCTTGTATAAATCCGTCCTTAATGAGATTTTTAAATTGTGGAGCTGATAATTGATTGTGAATAATAGAATGGATGTTGATGAAATATTGACGATCATCTATAGTCATTTCTATTCGATTAATATGAGTATAATGTTCGATTTTTTCATGAATAAATCGCCATGAACGAAACAAAGAAAGATCTTGTGGTTGAATATAACCAGTTGATCCTTCTGGAAAAATCAATAATTGACTGTCTTGATTAGGAAATACTGCTCTAAATTTTGTTAGATCAGCTTGAGTTTTCCAAGCATCAAGAACGAGAAGAAATTTTTTACCAAACAATGGACGTAGAATTTCATTTAAAGAAACGTGATGTTTTTCATCACTGCTTTTTCCTGATTTTGAAGCTCTAACTACAACGTTTGGTGGTATGATCAAATTTTTTTGCACTTTTTTACCGAATGTATTTTCTTTTTCTTGAAGGATGAGTAAGAACTTGTCTAATAAATGACCATTAGCTGATGTAACTGGTTGAACTGTATAAGAATGCGTTGTATTACATTTCTCTTTAACAGTCACTTCTGTTGTTCTTTCACCAGTAAAAGAAAGAGTCCTTTATGGTACATATTCTTGTTGAAAACAACAGTAATCACTGTTTAAAATTTGATGAGAAGAATACTTTGATATTAAAGTTCTTTTACTTTCAATCCAATTTTGGGCATCTAAAATATATATGTATATTATATTAAGACATATGTATTTAAAGACTAAATAAAATTTTACATACCATTTAAACTGAAAAGTTTTCTGTTTGGTTTAGTTCAAATAATAATTTTGTTATATCTTCTTGATGATATTCCATTTTTCCTTTTAAAAGTAGTGATAAACCATTTGCCTGCCTTGAATGTATCCCAATTTAATTCTCTTGCTTTTTGAATTGCATAAAGTTCAAGGTCAGCACATGAACCGCTTCTTTTTCAATGATTCTTTTCAGATAAAATTGATTGAACATAAATTCTTTAATTTGTTTTAATTTTTCTAATCTTCCACCGTTGTTTTCGATATATTGTCTAAACCTTGTAATATAATACATGTATTTGACCTTTTTAAACCGATGTGAAATAGTTGTAAGCCCAGCATTCGGATGTTGGTCAACCCATTCGATTATATTTTCCATTTCTTCTAATGTAAAACGATTTTTTATATCAGAATGTTCATTCTCATTGTAATCATCAATTTCATCATCGCTCTCTTCTTCATCAATCATTTCATCATATTCATCGTCAAATTCGAGAGTATCATAAGTATACAGTTCATTGAAGTAGCTGTTTTTAAATGACTTAAAAACTTCGAATAATCGTTCTGCAGCAAAAATTGTATCAGTAGTTGTTGCAGAATTTTCAGATCCATATTCATTTTTAGTCAAATATAGAAGATGTTTAGCAATGTTCGATAAATTCATGTTTTAATTTGATGAAGTAAACCTTTTTAACAGGTTGATACAACAGAAAATAAAACAGATTAATTCTTCGATAGTGTATTTCTTTGTGATTTATTAACACCAATTGCAAAGAAGTGGTCAATAGGAACTATTCACATATTAAAATTTTCTGTTTTCTTTGTAAAACCCTCTTTTCTACAATAACATTAGCGTTATTATAATTTGTAATAACAAAAGCGGCACGCGGTCACTATTCACACTCCATGTCGTGTATCTGCCTCGGTCAATGATAGTATAATATATAAACAGACTTTTAGACTACCAAGCGATGCATTAATGCACTTTAAGATCAAATATTATATACGTACAAGTCATTTTTCAAATACATCAGATATAATTTTTCATTTCTATGCTACTTAAATTCCAGAGGACATCGAAACTAATGTGATCTTAATTCTATTGATAAATTTCAGAAAGATTCTTGTAGCCTACTATTGAAATACTCAGCTGATTGCATAAAAAACTAATGTAAATAATCATAATGTTCGTATATACCCAAATTGTGAGTACCGTAAAAGTCGAATATCTCTCTCTAGGCAAGCCAAGGGCCGCTAATATTTTAACCTTGTTAGTTTGGTGATGAGAGCTTTCATTGGATCCGAATATGTGCCATCTTTTCACTTATCAACACACATATCTCCATTGTGAGTAAAGTTAGCTGCAATAATAGTTTGTCGTAGTTCGCATCTGCTGTGATTTAAACAGAATAACAAAATGGTCTGTGATGAGTGTACGACTTTCAAAACTTGTTACAAATAAGATTTTCCAGAAGAGTAAAAAGTCAGCAGAATCTCATCTAGTTTTCTTGAATAATTCATGTTCATTCATAATTACCGCCGAGTATGCCATAAAGATAGGTTTGGGATACTGTGAATCGTTCTCTTTTGATAGTATAAATTGTCTAACGAGCTCTTAGCTCAAATTATTCAAAAGTATTATTTCTGAGTGGATTCATGATGTTAGTACGAGAAATTATGTAAATTATGACGACCATATTCTGAATACTAAACTTCAGCTGTGAGAAAAACAGATTATTATTTTCTTAATCTTGCTTTCAATCAGAAGAAACAGAACGAAGGATTTTGAATGAAAAAAAGCAAATATGAAACTCATCCTTACCTTTGACTGCTGTTCTTTGTGTCAGCAGCGTGTGTGAAAATGAATCAAGTACGAATCACAGTCCTTTTTCTCTCACTTTTATATAACTCTTAAGCATTGCGTAATTCGATAGATATATTACAACTAAATGTGACAGAGACGTGTAGTAAGTGTAGTAAAAAGAAATAAATCCAGTTGTTGTCATCTTTTGTTTCTTCACGTATTCTCTTCTATATTATTATTTTCCTCTTCTCTCTACATCATAGGTACTTTGCTGGAGTATGGGTGTAGGTATGATTGTTCTTCTGTTACACCCGCAGACGGACACGCACAGGTACGCGTACACCCCACCCTTTTTTCGATCAACGATCGATGAAAAGAAGAATGTAGAGTGACGACGATTGTTGATATCATTCATACAACCGATGTTATTACTACACGATGAAGCGTACTAAGCTTGAGAAAAAATTGCTGTTCGTTGCGTTGTTGGTAATAATACTTATTGCGTAATAAAAATGCATTACTTATTAAGAAATGAGAGCTTTCTTTTGAAGAAATCTTTTTGCTTCAATCATTTTATTAGTACCATCATTTTAACATAGAAAGCTGAGTTGCCACCCTATCATCATTAGCGTAGCATGTCTAGATCACTATTTGTTATTTCAATTTATGCTTGTTTTTGGATTTACTTCAAAATGAAATGTCAGAAAAGTTACATATATATTCTACTCAATTCAAACAAGTGAAACACCGAAAGCTTTTCCGTAATGATTAAAACGCAGTCTCATGGGATTTATCACAAAATATCTGTCCTTGGGTATGTCCAGAAAATCTGTCACGCTTAAACCCCAAAACACTAATATCACTATACCATCTTCATTGTTCAGGAAACATAACATTCATTTGGAAGATAGCTCCAAAATCTTTATTTTTTTGCAAGCTACAAGAATCACTGATAATTGATGAATCTTATAGTGATCAATCAACAGAATACGTTTTCATTCTCACTTTCATTTATTTCAAGAAAGTCTTATTTTCATGTCCAATCAAAAATATTTACTTCCCAAAACTGTCACAAATGCAACCAGCAGGTTTTGGTGGACAAGCACGTTTCTTGCGCCTGAAGAGGTTCAAGAAGCCCGAGCCACTCGAATTATTCGGCTTGCCCAAGTTACCCAAGCTGCCCAAAATGCCCGAATTGCCAGAGTTGCCCAGGTTACCCAAGTTTCCTAAGCTGCCCAAGATGCCCGAGATACCCGAGTTGCCAGAGTTGCCAGAGTTACCGAAGAGGCCAGCAATGCCGCTAATTGTGTCCTTATTAGTACACAAATTATATGAAGTGCATTGCCATGTGCATGAGAAAGAAATACGTTTTTCAGACAACTCGTCTGCTTGAACATCAAGAAACAGAGCTGAAAATAAAAGAACAGCCACAAAAACTTTCTTCGTATTGCACTAAACAAAAACAAGCATAAAATGTCCATCAAATAATTCTTAGCATGTGTTTAGTATTTACCTTCATAAGTTGTCTATGAAATGTAAGGATGCAAACTTCAATCTGAATGTATTTTCAGTGCTCTTATATTGGCTGTAGAATGGGAAAGGAAGTAGAAAAAACGAAAATTATATAATTATAGGAAATTGCTTGCTTTATCAAGCCAATTAATCAAATCATGATTCAGATGAATAAAAGATGCTAAATAGTCTGTTATCTTACTTGAAAACAACTGAATCTATGAAAATGGTGAAATATATAATGCATTCATGGAACACTTCCTTTATTTATGGGGTTAGAGTTCTGCGACATAGAGAGGCAGTATATATCGTGCTACTATGTTACATACGGTTTGATGGTTACGTTTGTGATTAATAATCTAAGTACACTCGTAGTTGGTCGTTATGGTGGTGCAATCTACCATATAAGCATAATTAAAATGAAGGGATGTGGATTTACATAAACTTGCATAAGTGCCTTAGAGAAAGTAGTCCTTTAATGAATAATGAGCTGAGCAGCTAGACACCAGTGAAATGCTGAAACCAATCGTTTGTGATACTATAACACCGATTTTTATGTCATACGACGTGTCGATACATAAGACTCGATCAGCTAAGTATGGATGTGAGCATACAGAGCTCGGCAATTCAGCTCAGCTCAAAAAAGTGATTAATTGAATGCAATTTGCCGAATGATAACTTCAACTCAATTCAATACCTATACATGTACGGTTTTTTTAAAACTCAATTTCCTTATACGGGAATTTTTTTAAAATTCAATTCAATGATCACGAGAATTTTCCACTATTGAATTCAATTCAATACATTGGTTAGGGAGTCTTTTTTTCGGTTCAGTTCAACCCGGTTCTGTCACTGAATCAAATCGAATGCAACTCAACTTAGTCGATTTGAAAAATTTTAGTTGATGTATCATTTTCTAGTTTCATCCCTTGGAGGATGCAGAATGAGTTTTATTGTTGCTTATTACAGAACACTCTTTAGTTTTCTTTAAGTCCAAATATAACTGAGATCATCTATTATAGGATTATATGGAGTAATCATACAGAAAGAGCAGGTGATAGCTGAAGGAAATAGGATTGAACAGACTGTCAGTAGGTTATAAAACATGCCTATTTTTAAAACAGATATAATATTTAAACATTGAAACAATCCCTATGCATGATATTTCGCTAATAAATCAGGGTAAATGACTATTGTAAATATGATTCAAAAGACTGGAAAAGCAATTTCTTACATTTAGTACATAGTTATCTAAATTAAATGTATTTATGAAAGAATGAAGACGGAAATATCGATAAGATAGTGCTGCTGCAAGAAAAATAAATAGTTGTTGTACCTAAAACGAATGAATGACAAGAGTACTTTGCTGTACATGACACCAACATTGACACAGAAATATAAAGATGCCTGTATTCCATGGGCAATTCAACATGAAGGAGGTTGATTAAAACCGAACAATATTCACTGACAAGAATTTGCTACCTCTTATTTGGAAAAAAAACTTTACTCGATGACCAATCTATGCAAAAGCCGAGAGCAAGAAAGTTCCGAAAACCAAGCCGAAGATGGCGGTTTGGAGTGGCCTGGATGTCAAGGACCTAGTTAACCATCATTCGTTCAAAAGTATGATGCATGATTCTTACCACGTGCAAACTCATCAAAAGAACCTTCTTGGCAATATTAGATGCAACTTGGTGAACATCTGTAGCTTCAGCAATATCATGAATTCAAAAATACAAGTCGAGTGACAAAGAAATTATTGTGCAAGGAAGTGAATGAAATCATCGATTAGCTGTTGAATAGTTCCGATATCAATCTCGTGAAGAATCTCCGATGGATCATCAAAAATCGTGTCGAAAAGTGGAAACTACCGAATCCCGATGAATTCCACAGTTTTTTGCATAGAGAATAACACAAACTCGCCTTGACCATCCTAAATCCTATGATCAAGTCCTCGAAAGCACAATATTTCGTTTTGATTGATTGAAAAGGAGAGAAGATCAGCTATTATTTGTAATACTTTTGTACCTTGTATTATGCCTTATTTATGCATATATTTCACTTGCATAATTATCATGCTCATTCTGAGAAATACTTGAAGTACTAAGGACAAAGACTTTCGCACCTTGCTATAGATATATACGCGTAAATATAAATGCGAGTGTAATTCAGCCAACAATGGAAAAAATCCTGAAGATTAATTACAAAAGTAAATCGAAGTCATAAGTTGATCTTTTATTCTTTTTGTTGCGTAAATTTGCCGTATAACAACTATTTTTAGGGATGCACCAATTCCAATTCTAATTCTTGGCTTGGAATTGACGGAATTGGTAGAAATTGGTTGGAAT